TTGAATTACCTTTTCACAGGGGTCACCTAAGACCACCAGAAAAGTTTTACATTATGATTCACAACAGTAACGAAAACAGTTCTGAAGTGGCAACAAAATAATTTTATGGTTGGGGGTCACCACAACATAAGGAATGTATTAAAGGGTTGCAGCATTAGGAAGGTTGAGAATCTCTGAGTGATGGATCCAAACAAGACAGAAAGTAAAGAGAGGTGTGTCTCAGCAGCGTTTTGTTCTCCTTTAATATCTGGTTGAGTTCATTAACCTGAGTTCAAGCAAGAGCTCAAAGGAGCCCCAGGAAATTCAGAGGACGCGAAGTATACTTTCTGACCCTTAGAAGTAAGTTTCACTTAGTAGCATCATGTATTATAAAACTGCTGGTTTGACAAAAGCAGCTAGGTCCCGTAACACCATGCAGTTTAGAGCCACAGTCTGCTCTAAAGTAAATCTTACGTATCTACTGTTATTAATGCTTTTGATTATAAGGAATGAATCAGTTGGGAGGGGATCAATTAGGATATAGCAAAAAAAAAAAAAAATTTTGTTGTAGCCATACCCATGTTGAAATCTATAATGTTTTCTGTAAACGCTGGTGTTTCTGTATGTATTTTACAGCAAATAAGGTATCTGGCATTTTGCTCATCACACACGCCAACAGGGCCTTTTCTCTCACCATCCACCCACTCTTTGCTACAGGTACAAGGCAAAAGAATATTATGAGGCCCTTCCAGAGCTGAAGCTGGCCATTGACCAAATAGACCATGGCTTATTTTCTCCCAATCAACCTGACCTCTTCAAAGACATCATCAACATGTTATTTAATCACGACAGGTGAGTCACGAAACAAGACGATTTGATGTATAAAAATGGGACAAAAAACATCTCTCCTAACAGCAGCCCACTTGCATAATTTAGCACAGACTCATGATCTGATTCGCTGGCATAAGCTTGGGGGCGGGGCTTTTGTCACAAATGGTTAAGGCTTGAGAATTAGACTCACATCTTGTGTTCTTTCGCTCTTTCCACTTACACACTCTACTCTCGCATGCATACGCATGGGGAACCACAAAAGGGTGAGTATTCTTTCTGGAGAGCCAGGCATGCTTGACAATAAGCAAAGGGTCAGTTAAGGTGAAATGTCTGTTAACGAAGCTGTTCTGTCTTTCTTCCAACGTTGAACGCACCAAAAACAACAACAGATTTAAAGTCTTTGCAGACTATGAAGCCTATGTCAAGTGTCAAGAAAAAGTCAGTCAGCTGTATATGGTGAGTATGTGATGGGTTTTAAATAGTTTGCCATGAGCCAGGCATGGTGGTGCATGCCTTCAGTCCCAGCACTTGGGTGGGCAGAGGCAGGGGGATGTTACTGAGCTTAAGTTCAGTCTGGTCTACAAATCGAGTTTCAAGACAGCCAGGGCTACACACAGAGAAACCTTATCTCAAAAACAAAATGAAACAAAAAAGTTTGCTATGGTTCATTAATTGTTTTCTTTTTATGATATCTAAATAACAGGGCCCCACTGACTAATCAAACCTAGCAAAGATTGGTAGAGTACTTGCCTGGCAAGCATAAGCCTCTGAGTTTGACAGTCCCCTCCCACAGTGCCACCAAGGGGAAAATAGACAGATAGCAAGTGAGAGAACTTTCCAGATGTTCAGATCAAGTTTACAAGACACACTGGGAGGACCATTCCAGAGGTTGGAATTTGAGATTTCAGTAAGAATTGTAAGCTTTTACAATACTCGGATTTAAAAAGAAAATCATCAGTGATTTGTATTCATTGATCACCTACTGCGTAGCAGGCCTGTCTCAGAGGCGTGAGGGGCCCCTCTGTGCTGAGCTCTGCCCCTCTTCCAGCAAGCTGCCTGTAACCCCAGGTTCCTTGCCCAGAACTACACAGTCATCGAGGCTGCTATTTGAGAATACAGGTGACGACTTACCCTTCACCCACAGCGATACCCATGTGGTGGGCAGGCTCCTCCACTCATAGTTGAAAATCTTACCAAGATTATTCTGAGACCAAGCCTCAGTTTAGTTGGATGGGAACTGACCAGGCATTCTTCGAAAATTGCAAAATAAATTCCTCCCCTGGACCAGTCTTGTGGTGATACCAGATCAGTAGAATATAAATGTACTGAAAGAAGAGAGCTACCCTTAAGGCTCGTGCTGCTTTGCAGCCAGCCCTCAGCTCCTAGGTTGAGTCAGAGGACCCTCCTAACAGAGCGTAAACCTATGTTCAAGTTCATGGCTGTGAACAGTGAGGCGTTGCTGGAAGCTGCATGGCTCACTGGCCGCTTCCTGAACATGGATGAGAACAGCCCATGCAGCCCCGGGAACTCAGAGGGAAGAGAAGTAGAAAGAGCCGCCTGGAGAAGTAGAGAGCAACGACGATGGGAAAGGAAGGCATGAGCAAGGGCAGGGACTGATGTCAAGGACAGTTAGACACAGCGGGTCTTCCATTAAAATTAAGCCCAAATCCAAAGAATGCCCATCGGGGGAGCAGCAGCGTTTCATTCATTCCTGCGTGTTCGGAAGCGCACATTGTGACCTGACACTAGCTGCGTTGCTGAGGTCAGTAAATGTGCCTTGCATGGCTAGCAAGTATCCTTGCTATCCATTTCAGTTGCTGCTTTTACTTCTATATAGAAGTCTCCAAGCCTGAGTGGGCTACCATGCTCTCTTTTGCATAGCTCCAGGGGTATGATGATAGTTTAGTTCTTATTTTAAAAATTTCCTAATGTGTTAACAACTTTGAATAACTTCCAATAAACTCACAGGGATCCAGAAAAAAAAAAGGACTGTAAGCTAAATATATTTTATATACTTTTATGTGTATAAATGTCACATTTTGAAATATTTTTTGATTGAGAATAAAACCTTAGTTCAGTTTCGAAACCCCCAGAGGGGTTGTGGGGATTCAGAGCAAACCTAAGGAGGTATAGGCCTTCAAAAGAAACAAGAAGAGCTAAGTGGGTCAGCCAAGCTTTCCACTGCTTTGCTAGCTAATGTTCACTGTCTTTCAGACTTTTGGAGTCAGAGGTTAAATCTCTTTGCATGACCTGAATATTAGTCCCTTTCTTTACTTGTATGTTGTCATTCCATTTTTTTTTTTAAGATTTATTTTTATCTTATTTATGTGTGTGTGTATTGGAAGCCACACACAAGCTGGACCCCTTGGAGATGGAGTTATAGGCAGTTAGGAGCTACTCTGTAGGGATGCTGGGAACTGAACTCAGGTCTGCTAAAGCAGCGACAAGTGCTCTTAACCACGAAGCCATCTCTGCAGCCCTAGCTGTCTCCATTTATGATAAAGCATGGGAAATATGGCTTCCATGCTGACCAATTAGAGAATCCCTACCCAAAGATACTCTCCCTCTCTCTCTGTGTGTCACTCTCTCATACACACATGTTCTTTCTCTATTTTTGTATCTCCTGTCCTTCTTCCTCTCCCCATCCCCTCTTCATATCCCTTTCTCTTTTCCCCTGTCCCTCTCCCTTTTCCTCTCCCTCCCCCTCCCCCCTTTTGTCTCCCTGTTCCCTCTCCCATATTCCTGTCCTTCTCTGGCTTCTCTCTGTTCCCCTCTCCCTGTCCCTCTTCCTTGTCCTATTTCTCCCCTCCCCCGCTCCCCCCTTCATGTGCATGCTGTTGCTCTTACTCACTTGCTTGCTCTCTTGCCCCCTCTCACTCTTTCCCTTACTCTCTCTTGAGAGACAGGGTCTCTCTATGTAGCCCAGAATGGTTTTGAACTTGAGATCTTCTTGCCTTAGCCCCTTGGAGGCTGGGATTTCTTTCAAGCATCCGCCACCACGCTGTTGGTCATGGTTTCTCTTAAAAGGAAAAACACTTTTTCATCCCTAAGAGAAATATGCTCTGAATATGAGGAAATCATAGTCTTCTCTGGCTGGGTGTCAAGAGCAATCTCACTTGTAAATCATTCTCGTTTGTCCCTGTCATTCCCCTATGAAGTGGGTTTAGCTTGATGTTTGGCAAAGCTAGCCAGACACATAGGCCCTGGACTGTACATGCTTATGTTATCCACAGACGCAAAAAGCCTGGAACATGATGGTACTCAAAAACATAGCTGCCTCAGGGAAATTCTCCAGTGACCGGACAATTAAGGAATATGCCAAGGACATCTGGAACATGGAGCCTTCGGATCTGAAGATTTCCCTGTCCAACGAGTCCAGCAACAGAATCAGCGCCAATGGGAAGTGAACAGTAATAGTGAAGTATCTCTCAAAAACTCAAAAATGAGTAGCTTCTTATTGAGCTTGGGTATTTGTATAGCTTTGTTGATACTGTTTTGTTATTGAGTAATTAGTTAAGTGTCTCTGGGGATGGGAAGGGGAAAAAAAAATTCTATGGCTGTATTAGAGCTAAAAATAAAATGTTACTTCCAGTTGTCAATCAGTAGCCTGCTAGGATTACTTTCCTCAACAGTAATCAGCCAGAAAACTGCTTGGAACTGCTTAAGACCATTTAAATAAACTGAGGCAAAATATTTTCCTTTCTTACACGACTGTCAGAGTCCAAGATCCAGGCTGCTGTCTCGGTCTGCGCAAGCTGTCTAACAAAAGGTGTAAATCCAGGTAACTTAAAAACATAGTTTGTAAGTTCTGGAGATGGGAGAAGTCCAAAATCAAGAGGCCCACAGGAGCCACTTTCTAGTTCCTACATGATACCTTCTCATCCTGCCCTCTTCCAGTGGAAGGAACAGAAAGATTTTTTTGGACCTGTATTTTAGGGACCTAATTCGATTCCTAAGAGCCCAGTTCTCAAGACCCAGTCACCTCCAAAAGCCTCCACCTCTTGATACCACCACACTGGCGGGTAAATTTCAACAGAGGAGTCCAGACACTAGCAGCCACCTTACTCACAAATATCCCCAGCAGGTTTCACACGCAGACATTTATTGATGAGATCAGATCAGGTTCAATTCTTGTCCACATTGAGGATCTGGCATGATTCAAAAGGCAAACGACGATGAACTAAAGAACATTCCATACAGCTTTCTTTATTCAAGTGTCAGGTGACCTTTGGAAGCGACAGGGACCTCAGCTCCTCCAAGCAGCCCCATGCAGTTTCACGTAAAGAAACTACACAGCTCTTGTGCCCTTTGTACCATGTCTTCACTGGAGATTGCTGCTGCTCTCAGCTCTCACGCCCACTGCTGGCTCAGGAAGTCTCTGCAGAAAAAGAACCTAGGTCAGCTCACGCTTGGTCTGAATAACCAGCGCTGCCCTGGTCCCCCCTCCAGTCCAGGGGTCGGTCGTGGTGGGCGACAGCAGTTCTCACCTCACGCTTCTTAGCAGCATGGGGCTTTTACAGAGATGGTTGTGATGGAAGCCGGGAGGAAAGACCACCATTTTGACCCTTTCTTTGTTCCTGTAGGCACTATGTGCTATTTCATAGAGCTGCAGGAGATGCAAAGACAGCAGTCAAAGGCGGTCATAGGGTCAGGGTCTCCTGGTGGGATTTCCCTGACAGGGTAGGAACTTGGGGAGTCTCTCATCAAGTCAGAGACCTGGGGAACGTCCAGATCCTCAGTTGGCTGTTTCTACAGCTGAGGACCAGAATGCCGGTGACTAGTAGAGAATACTAATGAACATACTTGCCCCGAGCACACCTCACTGCAAAGGCTCACATAATCTCTATGGGCCCACTCCAGCAGTTTAAAGGACAACATCATGAGAGATGGGGCCCACGGGGGTCCCACTTAACCACAGACCCTAGGTGCGGCATCAAGGTCTGCCCCTACCCCAAAACTTCTTTAAACTAAGTAGCTAAGAGCACTGATACTCACTCTTCAGATGAACAAGCATGGCTCTTGAGGGGCGTAGAGGATCCCCTGTAATGTCAGAGACCTCTAGGCTCTAACCAAAGGTCACCTAGCTGAAGAAATGGTAGGGCCTTGGCCTACCTGCTTGCCACACTCCAGGGGCACTGTCCTGTCGTCTTCTCCATGCAAGATGAGAAGTGGGGAGGACAGGAACTTCACACTGGGAGAAGGAGGGAGATAAACACCCAGTTTAAGAACTCAACCCACGCAGTTACAGTTTTAGTGACACATGGAGTTATGGGGTTTGCCCAAAGCACAATCATCAATCGATCGATCAATAAAATCTTGCTTCCAAAAGAAGTCACAGCCTCATGTGTGCCAAACTTCACCTGGGAACCCTTTTATCCCCATCCCCGGGCCCCTCCCTCTGTTTCATCTGCTCAGACAACTGAACTGAATTAGTTCACTTCTGCTGCAGTTTGATAATGCTGAAGAAAATACACACTCAAATAGCAGATCTGTGTGGCACTAGTAGTCCTGACCTTTGAAGCATTTTAGATGGCCCAGTGGTTAAGAGCACTGGCTGTCTTTCAGGTCGACCTCTGTGGCAGCTCACAGCCACAACTCCAGGCCCAGGGGATCTGACACCCTGTTTTGGCCTCCTTGGGCACTGAACAGACATGGCGCCCAGACAAAGTACCCACACACATAAAATTAAAATAAATCTTTAAAGATTACAAGATAAGACTAAAATTATGAAACTACCAGAGAGAATCTGGGACCTTCTTGTAGCCATTTCTTTACTTCTCCCCGTAATTAGAGAGTGGGCCCACAATGCCAGGTGCGATTATTTGCCTGGTTAGCCCAGTTCGGCAACAAAAGGTCACGGGCATGCAAAAAGCCTTCCACTCTCAGGGCCTACTCCGGTACTGCCCTGTCCCTCCAACTGCTCAGAGGGCTAGCTCTCCTTGAGGGCTGAAATTGGGGGGGGGGGGGGGGAGATATTTGCCTATTTGGAAGCATTCTTAAATTATTTCTGATCATTGTATCTATTTCTGGGTCAGCTCACTTGTATGATATGGGTTTGAACCACATGGGGAATAAGACCTAGCAGTCAGGAGTCCCCCCATAGATGGCTAGGCTAGACCCCAGCAGCCTTTCACACGGTCTATAAAGATGCGTCTTTATGATGTCAGAGAACATACTGGATTGGAGAAAGCACAGACTCAGATCTAAGGAGAAGAGCAGATTCTGAAATGTGTAGAAACCCACCTCCAAATCTAGTGCCCATCTCCAAGACTAGCCTGAAATCCAGAGAGAGGTAAGGCCTATCCCCCGAGCTCTCAACTAGTATACCATGACAGTTACTCAGGAGCAAGAGCAAGCATCTTGGCTGGCTTACTTTTCGTCACTAGGGAAGACTATTTTGTCTTCTTTAAGGGCATCCATAAGTGTTCTCAAACATCTTGGAAGCTTCCGGTAAATCTATTTTTGAAAAAAGAAAAACCAAAGATGTTACTTCTTGTCCCATGGCTGTCTAGAATACATGGTTACATGGTCTCAGAACATCTTTCCCAAGCGGACATGCCTCTCACTACATCAGCTCCAAGCAGCAATGGAACAGCCACTCCCTACACTAAACTTAAAAATAAAATAAAAAACCTTGGGATCTTCAAAAGCAGTTCCTAGAGAGATGGTTCAGAGGACAAGAACACTAGCTGCTCTTCCAATGGTCTTGAGTTCAATTCCCAGCAACCACATGGTGGCTCACAACCATCTAGAGTGAGGTCTGGTGCCCTCTTCTGGTGTGCAGGTGTACATGCAGGCAGAACACTGTTGTTAAAGATTTTATTCGTTTATTTATTAACAACAACAAAAGTAGTTTCTGTAATTAAAAAATTTGGAGGGAAAACGAGAAATGAGCAGAAAAACAAGACACGCATCAGTTCTACCACAAAAATAACCATTGTTAACACTTGGCTGTATCTTCCTATATGGCTTCGTTTCAAATGCACGTGACAGCCAGGCTCTTACTCCTCCATAAGGGAAGAGTAACATTCAAAATACAACGCAAGCAGATTTAACCAGTTTATTTAGGGAGCAGCGCTCAGATTAGTCCATTCTGGTGAGAGGATCTGATGCTCAGATAATTGGTTTGAGAGGATTTGAACACTCTAAATGGTTGGAAGTGGTTTGTTTTCACAATGCTTTAAAACATTTCTGGTTTGACAATGGCCGCAGGACCCCAATGCACCAGTTGTCGTACACATGCTTAATTTCCCCTCTAATGACAGTCTGTGGCAAGTCGTGTAGGAGCTCAGTCTGCCTGTCATCACATAAATTAGTCCATAAGCCCGAAAAGCTTCTGTTTTAACTGAAAACATGGGGCAGGGGACAGGAGCCCTGCACACCACTGCACCCACCTCCCATCTTCCTGCACCCCCAATCTAATCTTTGCCCTCCATCTCCATTGTCTCCAGCCCATGCCACTCTCTACCTTTGGCCGGACGCAGCTCCTTGCTCCCTCCCTCCTCTCCCATAAGTCAGATCCTAGCCCTGGTTCCCTTAACACCCTCCAAGGATGCTTGAATTAAGCCAAACATAGCCCCTTGGCCTTTGGAGCCCTGCAGACGTGGGTGGCTGCCTCTGTTCCCAGCCTTTTGTCGCTTGCTGGCTGACTTCATCAAAACAGCATCCTTACTTTTGCCTTTCTCGCAGCCATGGACCTCTGGATTTTTGCCTCAGTAGGTCTCAGCTGACTTCACACTTTGTTTCCTTTTACATTTTTTTTCTAATTTTTGAGACTATAACTTAATTAAAAACATTTCTAGTTTCCCTTTTCTCCCCCTCCCAAACTCTCCTATAAATCCACCCCTTCCATTCTTCTTCAAATTCATCGCTACTTTTTTTCACTAATCGTTGTTCCATGCCTATATGTATATGTATATGTATACATATACATGTACAAATATATACTATTTATATGTTCCTAAATATAATCTGTTTGGTCTGTATGCTACTAGTATGTATGTTTTCAGGACAATTTTGTGGAAGTTTTTTGTAGCCAGCTATGAAGTATTTATTACTTTCAACATTCCCCATGATATGGTGTTACCCCTTTCTTTTATTGGGTCCTGTCTTCTATTTCTTCTGCAAGGATATAATTTCATCACTGGTCTGGGGTGGGGGTGTGGTGTGCAAGACATTTCTCGTTTCTGCTGTTACTCTCAAGATCTAGAAGGCCTCCTGGTATGTAATAGATGTTCAATAAATATTTGCTAATGGTGGGATGGATCTTTTTGTGCCAATGTCCCTGGGTGGACCTTAAACAGTTCATCATTTTTCCTCAGCGGACCTGATTTTCAAGGTTTCATTCCTAGAATGGATTTTCACAAAGGAAAGATTGGCGGAGTCTCACACGGTTCTCCTGCTTTGAGGGGAAGGTGGAAGGACCCAGCGTGGTGAGCGGGACATTGCAAAGGGACAGAAATGGGCACAAAATAGGCCAGCCAACCCCAGCAAACTTCACAGTTTTTGGGTTTTTTTTTTAGATGAAAACTCACAGTCATGTCAGGCTGGTTTTGAACTCTTGATCTTCCTGCCTCAGCTTTCTGAATAGCTTATAGTACAGGTACAAGAGTGGCACACTGTTTAAAAAACAAACAGATTTAACATCTATGTAGAGTGTTATATGTATATGTATACATGTATGTGTGTGTGCATGCGTGTGTGCATGCCCACACAAGCACACAGTCATGTGCCATGTGAACATGGAGTTCAGAGGGCAGTGTGTAAAAACTGGTTGTCTCCTTCAGCCATGCGGGTTCTGGGGATCGCATTCCTCAAGCTCGACAGCAGGTGCTTTAACCCAGTGAACCATCTCCCCTAGCTTCCCAATTTTTAAAAAAGAAAAAGAAAATCATTAACCTGCCGATAACCTGCCTCCTGAAGTGTGCCACTAGTGAATGGTGACTTCCTATGTGTTACAATTATTTTAAATGTTTGTTGTTTTTTCTGATCTTTTAGAAGGGGATTCACAACTCCATAGGGAGTTTAGTTTGCCAACTGGCACAGGGCAGGGAGGCCTGCCCCAGGAAGAAGGCACACTCTGGGTGCGGACCGCTGCTTTGCCGGCTCAGGGTCTGTCTGGCCTGCACATCCTCCAGCTCTCGGGGGATGGGCCACCTTCAGGAGTGTGCTGGCTCCTACCGCTGCCTCTCCTCCTTCTCCTCCCTCTGCTTCCCACGCTGAGGGCTGAGGGCGAGGTTACTAGGTTTGCTTTCTCTTCTTTGTCTCCTAACCCCACCCCTCCCTCCTGGAATCGGGACTCATGGAAAAAAATCAATAAGAGAAACCCTTCAGCGATTCATCTCGGGTTCTAAAGAGGGAAGAAGAAAGCAGACCCAAGCCAGCCTCCTCCCAGCTTTCCTCACTCCCTACCAGTGGAGGTGGCTTCTTGACACTAAGAGGTCATATGGTTCTGCCCAGACCAGACCACAGAGGCAGGCTCTTAGTTGATCTTCCTGCCTTCCCGTTTCTTTCATGTTCTTTTTAGTCCACTCTGAAACAGAATGAGTGGGGACAGGAACAGGTATTGTTTGGGATCCTGGCAGCTAGGTACTTCCCAGGCTGTGTCTTATTTGGATTTGTTTGTTTTGTTTGTTTTGTTTTGTTTGTTTTTTGTAGAATCCTGTGCATTGGGCATTGTCAACCACATTATTTTTTTTTTTCCTAGTGGGATACTCAGAGGTAAGAACAGCTTAGGTGATGCCAGGGCCCGGTGGAGGGGAGGAGGGTGGAGCCATACAGGACTAATGGCAGAGGCTAGGTTTGAACCCTAATATGTCTGAACCCATTGTCCATGCTCATCACTTACACCATCTGAGCTTACAAGATGGACCAACTCTCTGAGGTCACTTCTGGCTTCCATCATGTCCTCTCTGTCCAAGCAGAGCATGAGGTGGAAGACCTGTGGTCCTGTCCACGTCCACCTGTGTCACGACTCGTGTGTCTTACTCAGCAGTAACGATCAGGGTCTTACCTCATGTTGATATGGTACCTCAGCGCTGGCCTACTGAGTGTGTATTACGCAAGCACAACTGTAGTTGCTTTCTGTCTGTCTGTCTGTCTGTCACAGCAAATCTGAATAATCTTTTCTTATCCTAGTTTATAGATGAAGCCACTAGAGCATTAAAGAAAAACAAACAAACAAACAGCTGTTGAGTGATAATTCAGAAATTTAAACCTGGGCAGGCAGACGTGAGAGCCAGGGTTCTTAAAGACTGGGAAATACCTGGGAGAGTAAACTTCTAAGCTGTGGAGCACCTATCACATCAGAAGGCTCCTCGTCTGCAATTTTAAACCGTACCAACGTGCAAAAGTCACACCCACTGAGCATAAAACATAAGCACTTTGAATGCCGATCTTTCCTCCATGGTCTCTGTTTCAGCTCCTGCTTCCAGGTTCCTGCCTTGAGTTCCTGCCCTGACTTCCCTCAGTGGAGGAGTACAAGCATGGACAAAATAAGCCCTTTCCTCCCTGAGCTGCTTTTGGCCATGGTATTTTATGACAGCCATAGAGACCCCAGCTAAGACAGCAGCCTACACCTAGATCATGATAGAGTTGAGGAAGGAGTCAATGACACACCTAATAATAATTTCCCAAAACTAATAGGGGTTACAAAAAAATACTACTACTTCTCCTATATGGTCAAAAAGAAATCATGGTGATATTATAAGAGATTTTAACTAAATGATAATTAAGTGTACAACAATTTAAATATTTATTTATTGCATATACATAGTATCTATATGTGTGTGTGCACGCACATGCGTGTGCTTTCATGCCACGGGGCAAATGTGGACATCAGAGGATAACTTGTGAGCGTAGGTTCTCTCCATCTCTTCCAGGGATTAATTTAGGTCACCAGACATAGCCGGTTTAAGGAGACTGTCTTCCACAGTCTCATATATTTAAATGTTTGATCCCCCCCCCCATGGTGGAATTGTTTGGGAAGGATTAGGAGGGGTGGTCTTATTGAAAGAGCTTTGTCACTGGGGACAGGTTTTGAGGCTTCGAAAGACCCACGCCATTCCCACTGTGCTCTCTGCCTCCTGCCTGTGATGGGGATGCGAGCTCTCGGCAGCTGCTCCATCTACCTGCCACATAACTTCACTTCACCATCATAACCCTAACCTTCTGAAGCTGTAAGCCCAGGCAAACTCTTTTTTTTTTTTTAATAAGTTGCCTTGGTCATATTTTTATTCACAATAAAAAAGTAAATAGTACATCAGGCTTGGCAGTGAATGTCCTTACACACTGGGCCACCTCGCCAACTCTTGAACTAGCTGACGATGAAAACAAATTTCAAAAGTTGTGGGATTCAGAAGTATGGCTTAGGTAGACTATACACTGATGCATAAATTAGAAAATAGTCACCCAAGTAAATTATTAGATGATGCTGGGCATCGTGGTGTACACCCTTAATCCAGCATGCAGGAGGTAGAGGCTGGCCGGACCTCTGTGAGATGGAGACCAGCTTGGTTGACAGAGAACATGCCAGGACAGGACAGCCAGGCATGCCCAGAGAAACCTTGTCTCAAAAAATAAAATAAAATAAAATAAAATAAAATAAAATAAAATAAAATAAAATAAAATAAAATAAAATAAAATAAGTAGTACTATCTCAAGAAATTTTCAAATAAATATGAAAAAAAATACAAGAAAAATAATGATATACTTGCTCTGACCCAAAGTGCTGGGAAGAGACCAGCAAGGGAAGATAAAGGTAAAGATGGAAATTAAGGGAACAGAAGGCATTCGGTCAGATGATAGAAAACTTGACAAAATCGACTGCCTTTTGCTACGCTTGTAGGCTGCCTCTGACTCACAGATGCTTCCTCTTGTCTTGGGAGACAGAGGCCATGGTTTCTGTCCTTCCTCCATTCTCTACCACGGAGGACAGCAGAAACAACATGTCTTAAAGCCTAGCATCCCTGGGGCTCGCTTGGAGCTTGACTCTTCCTGCGGCCTGCTCTTCCCTTTTCCTTTTCCTGCTGTCCCATTCACTTGCGGGGCCTTCCTCAGTGTGCTCCCACAGTCAGGCACACACAAAGTCCCTGCCTTGGGCTAGCTTCTCAGATAGCGTGTTAGAGGGCTAAAACTGAAGAAACCTAAACGATACAGAAGCAAGCAAGCATAAATGTGAAAGTAAACAAAAGGCAGTAGAATGCTCAGGTATCATCAGAATTAGAAAGGTATCAGCTTCCCCAAACAGAACAATAGATCCAATGAAATCCCAATCAACATTCCAGAATCTGTTCTTGGCAAGAGCATTCCAAAATATGTATATATGAAAATATACAAAGGGTTAAGAATAGCCAAGGCAGCTGAGCGTGGTAGCACACACCTGTAATCCCAGCACTCAGGGAAGCAAAGGTAGGCAGATGAGTTAGAGGTCACCCTGGTCTTACAAAGTGAGTTCAGGACAGCCAAGGCTACACAGAGAAACCCTCTCTTGAAAAACAGAAACATAAAACAAACAAACAAACAAACAAGAATAGCCAAGTCAACAGGCAGCAGTGGTGGCAGATGCCTTTAATCCCAGCGTTGGGAGGCAGAGGCAGGTGGATCTCTCTAAGTTTGAGGCCAGCCTGGTCTACAAAGTGAGTTCCAGGACAGCCAGGGCTACACAGAAAAACCCTATCTTGGAAAAAAAGAGGGGGGAGGAGCAGGGGAGAAAAACCACGGCAAAACTTGAGAAATGGCTCAAAGAGCACTTGTTGCTCTTGCAAAAGGACCCAGGTTCGGTTCCTTGCGTCCTCATGGCGGCTCACAACAACCCGTAACTCCAGCGACCCTGGCGCCCTCTTCTGCCCTCCTTAGGTACAGCATGCATGTGGTTTACAGACATGCAGGCAAAGCATCCATAAACATGAAATAAAAATTAAAAAGGAAAAAAAAAGTAAATTAAGAATACCGCAGGCAATGTCAACCACGGAGAAAAAAGAGGAATGTGTAGAGCAAAGCATGAAGATATGTCATATACTAGAGTGATTAAAATGCTGTGACAGTCACAAGAGAGTGGACAATGAGGAGAAATGAGACTCTACCAACTGTGCCAATGTACACACACCCCAGTAGATGTAGACACTGGCACTGCTGCAGAAGGAGCAAGTTCATTTTCTAAGGGGTCCTGGGCCCGTGGATGCCTCTCCTCACACAAGCATCCAGACCTGTGAGTTCTGGCTTTGAACATAAAAGATCAAACGGTTTCTAGAAAAACACCTGCATAAACTTGGGTAAGCAGATTTTTTTAAAAAAATACGAAACACAAAATCACGAACTTCAAAAATAAAACTGGCGAAGTGTTCCACATTAAGTATAGGAACAGTGCGTCACAGCGACAAGCCAGTGACAGAGGGAAGGGGCCGGGCAAAGTTCTGTAATCCATCTGCAACACAATTTGCTAATGACTCATGCTAGCATCTACGAAGAAGGTCCACGAGTAAAATACAGCTCAATTCAAAAGTGGGAGAAAGATGTGAACACGTTCGTAAGAGATGATATCCAAATGGCTGATAAACACACAGCAATGCCTAATCTTGTTACTTGCCAGAAAAATGCAAACACCAGGGCAAGCCTGGGATACAATTACGATTCTCACACGCTTGGTGAAGTAGGCTGGTAAAATCCCTTTTGAAAAACACAGAGCAGTGTGAGGGCCACAGCAGGATCTTACAAGCAGTAATTCAGGCCTCGGGCCCACCCAGTGACAGGTTTGCACATCAGCAGACCACAGTAGAAAGCTGGACAGAATGACTCAGCGGGTAAGGGCGCTGGCTGCCCTTCCAGTTTCCGAGTCTCAGCACCCACATGGCAGCTCACAGCCATTTGTGACCCCAGTTCCAGGGAATCAAACGCCTTCTTCTGACCTCTGCAGGTTCTGCGTGCACATGGTACATAGACATGTACAAGCAGAACATGTCTCTTGTTCTTGTCATATACTCACACAGACGAAGAAAAAATAGAATACAAGTATAAGAACACACACTGAGGGACATAGCTTGGTGGCAGAGCATTTGCCTACCACGCCTGAGACTGTAAGTTCAAGTCCCAATGCACAGAGAGAGAGAGAGAGAGAATATACACAATAACAATGTTCTGAATCACCTCAAACCGAGCGATGTGAATGTCTATAAGTAATAGGATGGACCTATTGATAGTGGAATGTGCCTTATAACTGAATACCATATAACAATGGAAATGACCAAGCTACAGTGTTACACATCCAGAATAAAACCGCCTAAGTGGAATGTTGGGTGAGAAAAATAACTAGAATGTAACCTGTGTAATTATACTTTTATACGGAGAAGCTCAAAGAAAACTACCTTTTAGAGACGCACATACAGATAGCACCACTGCAAATAAAGACATGGCTGTGGCGGCCTTCCCGTGAAACCACTTCAGCAAGCTTCAGGGTATTCTGCTGTGGCCTGTGGTACCAAACATTTCAGAAATAAGCAGATGAAAACATCCCTACGATGCCTTACAGCGTGGAAAAGTTTACAACGTGTGCCTGCATCTCCTCTAAAACCGCTGCCTTTTCCTCAAACTCCTCTGCCAAGCCCTCACTTGCTCACACTCCGTCTGAGTGTGTGACTATAAACAATTGAAAATTGGGCCTGGACTAAGAGTGTAAAATCAGGGTCATGGTCAGGTGCAGTGGCTCGTGCTGTAATCCCAGAAATCCGGAAGCTTCAGACAAGAGGACTGATGCTGGTTCGAAGCCAGACTGTGTTACAAGTGTGCCCTCAGGTGCAGTCGAACTAAAAACTATCCCAAAACAGTAAGATTAATAGGACTAATAACAGTACTAGCAATAGGATAATGTGCACAGAAGATTTTTTTGGACCCATATTTATATTTTACTTTCCTGAGAAGACTGTTGTCTGTATCTGAAGTACCATGTAAGAGCATTTTCTCTAGAATCTTCTTTATGATAAAGTAATGTAAGAGACGGCTGGCATTCATAGAGCCGAAACGTACAAACTCTTATTTGCAATTTAAAATGAGGAATTACCATTGTAAAGCTACATCCAGTGAGTTTAACAATTATAAAACTGTGTGCTCACTTCAGTGACACATGAGCTAAAAAAATACAAAATATATACAGTTAATTTGGGGGAGAAAATCTTTCACTTAGTCAGCACCTCGGTCTGTTAAGACACTTGAGCCTTCAGTAGTCAACTGGCCAAGGCTAGAACACCTCTGGAACACATGGAGCTCATTAAAAGAACGGAGCCGTACTCATAAACGCCTGGGTTTGGCAACAGCCTGCGCAGCACATCTACCCAGGGCGGGTGGGATGGGAGCCTCACCTTTAGCAGAGGATAGTTGATACTCGCCACCCACATGTTGGTGAATGGAGCTTGTAAGACAATGGCATCAACTGGGCATCCTAGAAAATAAAAACAGCTTTTTAAAAATGAGTAACTCCCCTCCCCAAATACCAAAGTACCACCCTCCCTCGATAAGGGGTCCTCAGGGTCTTGTAGATAAACTGACTGCATCAAAACCATTTGTGTAGTATTTTAATATATACACCCTATAGCCCCACACTGTACCTGGGGGACAGTCTTGGGGTAGGGATAAGAACGTGTGTGTGTGTGTGTGTGTGTGTGTGTGTGTGTGTGTGTGTATCTGCACAAACATCCACCCATACATGCTCACGTGTGTGCACATATATATACAAGCATGGAGGCCAGAGGTCAACCTCACATGTTCATCAGGAAGCATTCACCTTGTCTTTTGAGACCCAAGAATATACACACACACGCAGACAGAGGTATGCACAGAGACATGCACACACATACATACACCCACCACACACGCACATACACGATTACTACATGTTCAGGGTATGACAAGGAGGAGGGGAGACTCCAGACCATTTCTCTGAGTTTTGGCTGTGACCTCGAAGGACTTCATTTTAGGAAAAACAGTGCGTTAGCTACAAAGCAGCTCCGATAAAGGCCGAGTCCAGCTTCAAAACAACTTAACATCTGATTGATGTCTTTATCCATGGTGACTTTATCCCCACCCAAAAGGCCTAGAAGGAGAAAAGTAGAGTATTCCTGGAAGAAGAGAGCATCACCCCAAGTTCTCAACCTATCACTTTCCATAAGCGATTGCTATCGCTTAATAAAAAATAACTAGGTCTATGAAGAGACCAGGCTGTGGTCTCAGTGGTGGTGCAATTGCCTACCATGGGTGAGGCACTGGGTTTGCCGCCCTGGCACACGCCTTTAATCCCAGCACTCAGGAGGCAGAGGCAGGCAGAGCTCTGTGAGTTCAAGGCCAGCCTGCTCTACAAAGCAAGTTCCTGGACAGCCAGGGCTACACAGAGAAACCTTGTCTCAAAAACAAAACAAAACAAGCAAGCAAACAAAAACCCTCAAGTCCAATGACATTTTTACTGGATTCTGAGAGAAAAACAACAAGTTAGGCAAACTGTTAAGTCTCCACAGTTGCCAGAAGTCAGGGGTGGCGAAGAGGAAGAAGAGAGAAACATGGAATTAGACACCACTTAGACAGCTTCACTGTCCCCTAGAGGAAGGAGAACTGTTAAAGTGTTAGGGTAAACACACAGGATATTTATCCTCAGGCATAGAGATAGACAGACAACAGACAGACAAACACAGAAACACAGAGACACACGCAGAGAGAAAGCTTACATGTTTTTCAGTCAAAGTAGACAAACAGCAGTTAGGATCAGTGAGCAACTGCCAAACGAAACAAAACCACAAGCAATTGGTCTTGGGATTTTTTTAAATTTTATTTTCATAGCGGTATTGGCGTGTTTTTTTTTCTTCTATACATGGAGTAAACAATTTTTTTAACAAATGGTCTGCTCCTAAAAAGAGGGATTCTAAATTCATAACGCCAGCTAGAAAAGCAAGAAAGTAAGCTGACTCTGATACACTCTACACAAGCTCTGTGACAATCACTGACATGAAAATTATGGGCTCCAGAGGGCAGTGTTTTTACGTGGTTTAGAAAAAGGACTCTTTGAGACTAAGACTTGCTGTATAGCTCAGGCTACCTCAATCTCAAGATCTTTCTGCCTCAGCCTCCTCAGCAGTGGGATTATAGGTGTGTTCTCCCAATACCAAGTAATTTTTAGTTCTTTTCTTACTGTTTATTCTTAATTTCACAGCCCAGAAGAGCAGCAGTCACACTGCTAAAACTCCTTCAAAATCGGGGCGCCTGGAACAGGGGAGGGGACTCTGTGGTCAGTGTGTTCACCAAGTTTCTAGGACCTTCTGACTTTATGTTTCTCTACCTCAAGCCAAACAAACACCTTCCATTTTAGAAGTTTCCATTACCTTTCGCCTCTAACACCCTGGCAGCATTTGTTGCGACTCTGTAAAACAATGACAGTGAGCATGAGTAACAGTGGACACCGTGGTCTCCACAACCCAGGACCAGCGACGAATGAAAAGCTCTGGACTCTCCCTAGAAAATCCAGACGGACACGTAATCGTGCCCAGGCATCAAGGGATGCCACAGAGCCTAATTTAAGTATCTGATTCTTTAACGCTCTCACAAATTATTCCAGGATAGACGCCAGTGTCAACAGTGATGCAGGGAGTTTAAGGGACTTGCTACTGTGTTACAAGCAGGCATGCTGACGGGGCAGGCTCTCTGACCATTGCTGGGGTGAGAGAGAGAACAAAGAACGGAGGTCTCCCAGTTTGGCTTCCCTTCCACTGTTGGCTGTGCCTTTCCAAGGACCCACCAAAGATATCTCTTCAGCTCCCACTTACCCTGTACCCAGAGAATGGCCCCAGAGGCACACAGGAGTTCTACCACTTCTTGCCTTGGTCCATTCATAGACACAAACAGCGTCTGTGGTTAGTCCCTCCTCTGTGGGCGTCCCCGTGGAGTCCCCAAACCCTGGCAGGAACAAGAGGCGAAGACAGTATCACGCCCTCCAAACCGAGTCGTCCAAAGCCTTCTGCGCCCGACACATCCCGGTGCTCGGCTCTCAACACCTACCTCTGTAGTCCACGGACAAGACGTGGAAGCCGCCCTCGCTCAGCACCTACACACCAAAGGAGCAGTTAGAGAAGGCTCCTCTCTGACACATCCATGTCCCTGGGTGTAGTGGGAGGGTGTGTTCTGAGCGGCTGGGCTACATACAGCTCGCTGGTAAGGCTCATGCCGAGGTTTGAACCCCAGGATCACAAAGATTCTGGGGTTTTTTTGTGTGTGTTTTTGTTTGTTTGTTTTTTAATCTAGAGATGAAAGTCTGTGGGAAAGATGGAAACCAGCCCGGGTCGCTTACATCCGGGCTCTGCCACTAACAAGCTGTACAACCTTAGCCTGCTAGTTAGACATTAAGTTATGTAAATGTTATTCGGGGTTCCTGGAGGGTTACATGGGTATTGGGCTTATTTATGCGCCCGATTCCGTGTCACAGTTTCATTTGAGCAGTTTCTAGAGCCGGAGGTGTGGCTCAGGGGTCAAGCGCTTGCCTAGCATGCTCAAGGCCCTGGGCTTCATCCCTGAGACCTCACACTCTCTGAAAGAATGAATGAATTCCTCCGAGAATGAAACACTACACAGAGTTGTGGGGAGAGGCAGTCTTATAATGGGGAGGTGTTTATCTTGATTATGATCAGATAAAAGATATTTTTCAACGAAAAAAAGAAATAGAGATCACCACACAAATATATGAAATCGTTGCCTAATGTTGTCAAGTAGGTAAAAAAAAAAAAGAAAGAATATGTAAACTTATTTAAACAAGTTAAAACACAATATACAAAGAATAGATTTTTTTTTCCCTCCACGTTGTCTTTTTTTTAAGATTTATTTATTTATTATGTATACAATGTTCTGCCTGCATGTGTGCCTACACATCAGAAGAGGGTGTCAGATCTCATTATAGATGGCTGGGAGCCACCAGGTGGTTGCTGGGACTTGAACTCACAACCTCTGGAAGAACAGCCAGTGTTCTTAGCGGCCGAGCCATTCCCCCAGCCCCAGAAGAGATCTTCTTAAAGATGTATTTTTGTAGACAAAGAAACTGAAGTGAAGAGTCATAGTAACTAGTTAGAAGTTGTTCACAGAGCTAGTTATGAGCAGAGCCAAGAATCCCTCCCAAGCCTGCCTGGGCCTGCCTGCCTCTATGTCCTGTGGCTTCTTACTGCCCAGATGTGCGTGGCTAAGGCTCACCAGAAATCTTCAACTTTCAGATCAAACTACAAGAAAGAAAGAAACTGGAACTTTCAGGTTGAGCCAGGTCACATTACCTCCAGGAAGCTGGGACACACACAGTAGCAGCAGGGAAGCGGAGGAGGAATGGCCCGGAGTAGCTACCCCACAAACACAGTAACAACTCTCACCCTCCTCGGAAAATAAACAACATGAGAAAAAAAAATAGGTACCCTAAGTTTTCTGCAGCTATACTTTTTTTTTAACGTAAATCCAAGGAAAAAAGTGAAACTTTATTAAAACATCAGTGGAAGAGTTACAAGTTATTTTTTAACAAATTGAGAAAGGTAGATAGCCTCTAAATTAGTAATTGCAACCACTATGTGAAAACATGGAAAATAAAGCTATGTGTGTGATGCTCGCCTAAATGCAGGATGTGGGAGGCAAAGGCAAGCCGGAGCCCAAGGTCAGCCTGGTCTATATAGCAAATTCCAGGCCAGACAGGGTTACCAAATGAGACCCCATTTCAAATATAAATAAATAAATAAATAAATAAATAAATAAATAAATAAATAAATAAATGGGAAAACAAGATAATGAAAAATGTTTATAAAACAAGGTTAAAGTATGGAATATAGATTTATATATACGTACAACTATAGTATCAAAGATTTTATATGAAAGAGAAAAAAGACCAGTGGAGAATGAATACAAATAAAAGTACTAGATTAGGGAAGTGGCAGGGGGAAGGGGGAAAAGGAGAGAGACAGAGTCAGAGAGACAGAGAAAATAAAGGAAGGAAAAAATGATTTAATAAATATAGATTTTTGTTTTAAATCAATCACCTGTCCAGACAGGCTCTAAAAATTGTGGAAATGAGGTCAAATTCATAAGAGTTTTGAGGCCCAGAGTTATTCCATGTGTTTCTCTCTCTCTCTCTCTCTCTCTCTCTCTCCCCCTCTCCCTCTCCTCCGCCCTCTCTTTCTCCCTCTTCCTCCCCCACCTCTCTCTCCCAGACAGATCTCTCTGTGGCCTCTCAGACATACCTTTGCCAGCTTAATTCTGTGACGAGCTGCCCTGTAGAGGAGAAAGACGGAGGGGAAAAAGTAAAAGAATTAGGACGTAGTATGGCAAATTCAATAAAAGTCACTCTCGGGCTTGATCTGATCCTGCTCATACTTTCTCCCTTTTCTTTCCTATTTTAGATTTTTGTTTGTTCTGTTGTCATTATTGCTGTTTGAGACATGGTTTCACTGTGCAGCCCTGGCTGGCCTCAAGCTCTCAGAGATCTGTCTACCTCTGCCTCCCAAGTGCTGGTATTAAAGGCATGCACCATCATACCTGGCCTAACATTTGTCGTTCTCTCTCTCTTCCTTTCTTCCTTCCTTCCTTCCTTCCTTCCTTCCTCCTTCCATCTTTCTTTCCTTCCTTTCTCTCTCTCTCCCTCTCTCTTTCTCTCATTAGTTAAGAGAAATAAATAACCAGGAGAAAAAGAAATGCTTCTAAGTGGCAAGGCCAGCTTGCCGATGTCACGGCAGATGACTGAGCCCCACCCCTTGCCTTTCCAGGGCTTCCCAACATGAGCATTTTTGAAGTGCCTCAACCCATCTCCTCCAGGGTCTGTGCCACAGAGCTTACCTCTAGGTGTTTTCTTGTAAGCTAAAGGAGAGCTTGGAAAGAGCGACTTCGGAACCGGAGGTTGAGATGAGGTCACCTACACTCAATTAGGGTTTCCTGAACCCCACTATCTCTGTCACAAAGTACAAGAAGAAATGAAAGACAGAGAGTTGCCTTTGCAACTACAAACACTCCCCCCAAAATGACAGCATCTACCCTCACCTTAACAATAGAAGACAGAGACTTAACCCAAAGGCAGAAAATCCCTTAAAGCAAACAAACAAACACCTTAGGCCTTAGAAACAAAATCGCTCAATGTTAGTGATCCATGGAACGCTGGAACATCTAGTTAAAGCTGTAAACCCATTTCCTGGAAACAAAAATGGAACCACACTTCAAATTTTATGTACGACTTTGCTGGATTCCCCCATCGATCTGAAGCCTAAGCACACTGATTTTGGTGCATTGACAAGATCCCTTGCTACTTCCTGTTTGAGGAACGGTGCTGAGTCTTCAGTACTGTGAGCTCATCGGTGACAGGAAGCTTGGACTTCAGGGTGGAGTCTGAGGAGGGCGTGGGCCATCAGTTTGGGTCAACTGAGGACAATTTCAGGTTCACACAGAGGTACGGGCATGGCAGTGTGGTCTACTGATCCTTTAAATAGACCTACTGTAACACTGTCCAACTTCATAAATCAGAGCGACGTTAAACAAGGCTGACCATGTTTGGTTTCACCGAAAAATCTCAGGGAATGTGATTCTAAAACAGACAGAGCGATGCCTGAGAAAGCCATCACCTGACAGAAAATGACAGACAAGAGGCACAGGCGAGCTAGCCAAAGGGCAGGTTCCTGACCCTGTCACTTGGTTTGAAGTGTGCCAGCCCCTCCTCCCAGGCGTGTGAGGGAGACTGTGGGTTTACCCTATACGGCCCCTCCCCTAGGCAGAGTAGTCCTGCTGTCCCCAACTGATAGTCATCTGGGCCAGGGAAGGCTTTGACAACACATCAAAGGACAACAGGCTTCAGGGAGGCCAGCTCTGTGACAATGCCAGGCAGGGACCACAGACACTGGACTGAGGCATGACTATGTTAGAGTGGAATTTATCAGCGTCCCCAGTTTCGTTGGTCAGAGTTCCAGGTGGCTTCTCCCAGACATCAGGATTCTGGTGAATGGGATTCATGTTAACTAAGGACTCTCCACTGTCAGTTTCTAGAAGAGCCCATCAATGTGGAAATTGCTCTTTGTTTGCTCTTTAATGCATTCCTAAACGTTTTCCAGTCATTCATGGGTTTGTCGATCCATGCAGTATTCGGAGACTGTTTGGAACTTGCAGTCGTTACAATAGGAATGCATGTGGCACAGAGAGCCATGCATATATCCAGAGGAATGCAGGGAAAGCTTTTACAGGCCACGTGAGGAGGACTGCAGGAAGCCATTTGGAAACAATTATTCCTAGCTACAAGGACTAAAAGTAAGAGCTGCTCCAGTCTGAGGCTGTGGGGAGAGTGGCTGGGCAGATATTCCTCGCACAAGAATCTGAGGTCCCAGTGCCGTTTGTGCAAAGCCACGGTGCTGGCAAGTCCTCTGTGATGGCTCTTCCTGTCAAGCGCACACGGGAGACCCCTCTCCTCCTTCCAGGACTAGTTCTAGTCCTGTCTTAGTTTTAAAAAAAAAAATTAATTCCATTTTGATGTAAGCCATCATCTTGAATAATCTTGAGGAGTAAAGAACCCAGTGGCTTCACTGGAATGGAGATATCCATTTTGGAAGAATTACTATTCCCTCCCTTTCAGAAATAGTTCCACGTCATTCTACACTCAGACTGCTTGTTTAAAGAGAGTGTGTTTGCAGAATACCTTCACATTCCAACAACAGAATAGAAATAGATGAGGCATGTCTGCAGTCGAAAACTCCCTTCACTCTCCCATGGCTTAGGAATGTTCTTAATCTCTCAAAGAGATAGATAGATGGATAGATAGATAGATAGATAGATAGATAGATAGATAGATGATTGATAGATGGATGGATGGATGGATGGACGGACACATAGATAGATAGATGGATAGACGGACACATAGATAGATAGATAGATAGATAGATAGATAGATAGATAGATAGATAGATAATAGATAGATGGATGGATGGACAGACACATAGATAGATAGATAGATAGATAGATAGATAGATAGATAGATAGATAGATGGATGGACAGACAGACACATAGATAGATAGATAGATAGATAGATAGATAGATAGATAGATAGACAGACACACAGACAGACAGACATATACTCCAAGCAGAGGTGCTGACCTGTGCTGTGCACTGCCATGAAGATAAACAATAATCGGGTTCCCATCGTGAAGAGCAGCTTCGTACCAGCAGCGACTCTTCCCCTTGGCCTCGTCTCCCCGGCAGCTGGGAACTGTGTGCCTGAAGAACGAGGAGAGGTTTCACAGAGCTGCCGAAGCAGAAACTCACTTCCCGTCCATATTTTTATGAGAGATATTATGTATCAAAAATAGCAGTTGTGTGTACGCATACTTTACAGGCACTTTTAAAAGTTTTCATGTGAGAAACACACACATGCATATTCTAAGAGCACAAAACATCCAAGGAAAATTGCTATCCTATCCCACCGCACCACCCAGGGTGTTAACTGTTACAGCTTTGACTTTACTCACTTCTGTTTCTGTTAAGAAATTTCCAAGATTGCAGTTCTTCAGTGCAGGCCACTGAGATAACAGCAGCAGCAGCAGCAGCAAAGGTTGAAACAAGCAAAAGATAATCGATATTTACCCGGAACTTAAGCATAAACCCGAGTTAATATCTTCCCCCCTCTCGGTAACCCATGTATTATTAAGACACTCATACATTTCAATAGCTGCTTATGTTTTGATGCTCAGAGTTCAGCATATGAACACGTGTGCATTTAAACGCACAATTAAAGGTGTTCAACATGATGTGGCATAATGGCTAACACACCTGGGAAGAGGAAACCTGAGCTGAGGGATGGGCTCCCTCAGATTGGCCTGTGGGCATGCCTGTGCTCTGTTTTCTCTGTTGCTAGCTGGTGGAGAGAAAGGCCCAGCCCACTGTGGGAAGCGCCCCCAGGCACCTGGGTCTGGACTGAGGAAGAAAGGCAGCTGAATGTAAGCCTAGGAACAAGCCAGTTAGCAGCCGTCCTCAGCTTCTGCTTCAGTTTCTGCCCCAGCTTCCTTCCCTCTTTCCTCAACCATGAAAGATGAGATAAACCCTTTCTTATCACAACATAAAGCAACTAGGAGAGCACTCTAGCCACCATTAGGTGATGGTTACTTCAGAGCCTAAATCAGGCAGTTAACGGTAAGCCTGTAACATACTTCAGGAGCCTTCCTAGATTACACACACAGGTTTCTTCTCCACAGACAGGCCTCTTCGCTTTAATTTCTTAGCTACCCAGCTCTGAAGTCAGTGCTCAGGGAAAGCCATGCAGGCTGACTAAAGAGACCAGGTGGCCTCGAGATTATAAACACCTGTCTTTGAGTTCCTGCCTCAGGAGAGCACTCCAGCAATACAAGCGCTGCATTGTATCATTTCACAGGGTTCATGCAGGCCAACGGCTGACAAGCTTCAATCCTCTCAGTCCCCAGGGCCTCCGGAAACACAGATGTCCCTGTCTCCTGGGTGAGCTGACTATGGACATAGCTACTGCCCCAGGCCCATGTGGCCAACCAAAGTCTTAGCCAGACCATCCCTGAGGATGAGGAAAAAGTTATATGCACTGTTCCAGAACATGGTCCAGTTGGAACTTCAGACTGACAGAGATGAACTAGACAACAGAACATTAGTGGCAACTAAGAGCAAGGAGTCAAAAGAAAGACCCCAAGGGACGGGGTCTTCCCAAAGGGAAGACCTCAACAGAAAAAAAAAAAAAAAAAAAAAAATAGAAGGCACATGACCTCCTTTGACCTTGGTTAAATATTTTCCAGATTAATTAGGCTATTGATGAACCCACCACTGGGGTCTGTCCACTCCTGGAAGCTGTAGTCTCATTAGGAAGGCAAAAGCAAGGAAATAATCACAAAACATGTATTCCATTATGATGGGAAGAAGCATTGGGCCCAGGTGGCCACAGCACATTTATCTAAAGAGGAAGGTAAAGAGCAAGGGAAAGGAAGTTTTCCTGAAAATGACCGGTCAAAATGAGACCCAAAACATGAGGTGTGGCTAGCTGGGCAAAAGGAGAAAGAAGTGCAAGTCCTGGCTGACGTTGGTCACGGAGCTAGTGTATCTGGAAAAGTGGAGGGGTGACAGCAAGGGTGGATGGAGGAAGGCAGAAGTGGGTGGGGCCGTTTGTAAGACCTCATACTCCGAAGCAAAAATACCTGTCAAGTAAAATGGAGGAGGGGAGCTGTCACAATAAAAGGAAAGGTGTATGGAGCAGCTTCTAGAAGCTTCCACAGCCAGTCAGGCTCCCAGGTAGGCAGCATAACACCACCCCTCTCAGCTCTTCTAGCAGAAAGTTCTGCACTTGTGCTGTCTGTCTTTCTCTCTCTCTTCTCCTCTTTCTACAGTTGATGAAGGTGAGAAGGATCAGGGGGCTGTGACGATGGGTCAGCGGGTAAAGCATTTACTTGCCACGGAAGCTTAAGAGCCAGGGTTGGGAAGGTATCGGTCAGCTCACTCACCAGACGCCGAGCAACACACCAGGCTCAGGCCGGAGGTACAAGTTCACAGTGTGGTTGATCTGTGACTCAGGTTTCTTTAAATCCACAAGGGGAGTTTTATCTGTGAAGCAGAAATCAGGATCAGCCCTCAGCATCGGCTCCATAGCTGTTCATGACATTTTTTTTTAAACTTCATTTTTGCAAGCCAGCGGTTCTCAGCCTTCCTAACACTGTGACCCTTTAATAAATATAGTTTCCTCGTGTTGTGGTGATTCCAACCATCAAGTTATTTCGTTGCTACTTCATAACTTTAATTTGCTACTGTTGTGAATCATAATGCGAATATCTGTGTCTTCCAGTGGTCTTAGGTGACCCCTGTGAAAGGGTCATTCGACCCCCAAAGGGCTCACAACCAAGCTGCAAGCTAAGCAAGAAAGCGCTCATGCACTCCTCATCCTTTCTGGAGCTAAAAGTAGAAGAAAGAAGGTGAGTAGAATCAGGCAAAAATAAACCACAGGGAACAGCATTATCACTAGCTATAGAGCAAAACAAAGCCACATACAATAGAGGGCATGACACTGAGAGCTAGGCCTTCAGTGTTCTAGAGGGAAAGAAATCAGCCTCTCTGTCTCTCCTTATGTCTGTGTGTGTGTGTGTGTGTGTGTCTCTCTCTCTCCTCTTCCTTCTATAACTGATGCAGGTAAGAAGGAGGATCAGAGGGCTGGGGTGATGGTCCAACAGATAAAGCATTTGCTTGCCACACAGGCGTAAGAACAAGAGTTAGGATCCACCACACATAAAAGGCCAGGAGGACATGGTGGTCAGCCTGAAATCTCAGCAACAGGGAGGAAAAGCACTGTGTTTTCAGGGTAAACTACTGAGACTAGCATGATCGGGAACGCCTCTTCAGCAAGGGAAGAATGATGGAGAATACCCAATGTCAGCACACATATACACACAAATGCTCACATTCACATAGACACATAGGCATACACACACATACACATACATGCCCACACACTCATATATACACATACATGCACATACAAACATACAGGCACACACGTACATGTGCACACAAACCTCACACATCACAGGGACAAAAACAGACATACATACACACGTTCTCTCTTTATAGTAGTTTGGATGGATTTGTGCTAACCTCCAAAGTTAATACAGTAGGTTTCTGACCATGTGAGTCTAGCCAGGGTTTTGCTTGTGCTGTGACTGTGAGAGAAGTGAGTTTTTGTTTGTTTGTTTGTTTGTTCGTTTGTTTGTTGAGAGGATTTTTCTCTGTGTAGCCTTGGCTGCCCTGGACTCGCTTTGTAGACCAGGCTGTCCTCGAACTCACAGAGATCCACCTGCCTCTGCCTCCCTGAGTGCTGGGATTACGGGGGGGTGCCGCTGTGCCCGGCTAAGGAGTGAGTTCTTTCTTTGGGAGAATTTCTGTAGGGATATTTATGGACAGTACATACTTACAAAAATTAAAATAGATCAGCATATTCATCAGAGGAGGGAAAATGTGTTCCTTGAAAGATTTACTCGTGAAGCTTCGGTATTCGGCAGCTATTTTTCTTCCAAGAGCCGAGCAGGAGCGTGGAAAAAATCTGCAAAATATTGAGGAATAGGCTTTTCAAGATCAGCCCCCCAAGTTTTGTCTTGTTTTCTCTCTCTCTCTCTCTCTCTCTCTCTCTCTCTCTCTCTCTCTTAAGATTCAAATGCAGCCTGGTAGTGATAATGAGCTCCTTTAATCCTAGCACTCGGGAGGCAGAGGCAGACCTCATCTACAGAGCAAGTTCCAGGATGCCCAGGACTAACTCTGGCATGTAAAAAAAATCCTTCACATAGCTGCATGTAACCATGTAAAGTGGCATTGGAGTGGGCAGCCCGGTAAGGAAGCGCATCAGACAGAGCCCCTGCTGGTCTCTCCAAGAGCCAAGTACAGCTGGCGCAGGGCAGAAGCTCTGACCATGCATCCAGGTGAGCAGCCCCTCAGAGGCCTGGATGGAACCCCAAAGTCAAACACAAGCAGCTTCAGACAGCTTAGCCAATGCCTCAAGTGGTGCCCCAGCTCAGAACCCCGTTAGCTCTGAGTGAGCAGCCATCAGAACCACGCTCTTCTGACTGGGTCTCAGAAAGCAACCTATGGAAGAAGACTCCACCTTTATGAGGACAAGGAGCCATGAGCAGCAGGGACAGGAAAGAACCTCAAGGGGTTCTTTCAGAGAGCTGAAACCAGGACAAGGTGCGATTGGATCACACGCATCTTCCTCCTCCTCCTCTTTCTCTTCCTTCTTTTTGGATACCTTGTATGTGTGTGTGTGGTGTGTGTGTTGCCAGCATGCATGTTTTCTTCTTAAATTTTTACTTGTTTATTATGTAGAGTATGTTCTGTCTGCACATACACCTGAGCACCAGATCTCATCATACATGGTTGTGAGCCGCCATGTGGTTGCTGGGAATTGAGGGACCTCCGGAAAAACAGCCAGTGCTCTTAACCTCGGAGCCATCCCTCCAGCCTTTTTCTTCAGTTTTTCAAGACAGGGTTTCTCTGTGTGGCCCTGGCTGTCCTGGAACTCGATTTGTAGACGAGGCTGGCCTTGAACTTAGATGCCCACCTGTCTCTGCCTCCTGAGTGCTGGGATTAAAGGTGTTCCTCACCCATGACCCGCCTGCCTCTTTTACTGTTCTCTGCAACACAGCTCCTGGCGATAAACGCCATGGCAGCCCGATCGATGACTGCTCGCTAAGGCCATCTATGTCGAGAGCCACTTTTTTCATGAAGTTCAAGATTGTGTCCTACTTTTGAGACGTATGTCCCTCATTATGCACATCCTTTCCCTGAGGTAACTGGTCAGCACTAACTGCGTGATGTTATGTTCTTAGAGGCTGCCATGATCCCTCTGCTTCACCAGAGGGATCGGGTGGTAACGGCTCTCATCTTGCTTTGCATATGAGGAGTGCCAAAAGCCGAGACTCCTTCCTTCCCAAGATTACAAACCAATGAATGCACCACTGTCCCCCAGTCTACCTGACCCCAGGATTTTGCCATGCTTTCCACCAAGCTGTCATGGACCTGCTGAGTTCTACATGCAAGCAAAGAGGACCGCCACAAAGAGGACCCCAGGAACAATGCTGGCCTCCACCAAAACTCTGCTCCCAGAGAATGGTATTTCAGACTCCCTTCCCCTCACCCTGTCCCAGGGTCTCTTCTTATCCCTTGTCCTGCCCCTGTATTTACAGGAGCCTTCGGTTATGGAAGTGGACAAATGTCTAAACAGTTCTCCCTCAAGTGCAGATGACTTAAAAATAAAAGCCCTTATCTATATCTAAGGCTTGAAGAGAGAGAGAGGATGAATCATGGATTTTGGACACTTCTGCCAATAGTGGAAAAGCTGTGCAAGTTCGGAGCAACGGGTAGCTCTTCAAATGTATAACACGCGGGCAACTGCCTACCCACAGAAGCATCGGGAAAGGCATGAAGAGGATTGTTACATAACACTCTAACGCAGTCCCCAGGAAGGCAGGAGGAAGGGCAGGGCATTGTTCTGGTTTTAGAGATGAAAATCACAATGCTGGGGCTCTGCTTTGAGCCACAGATCAAGGCAACTGGGGCAGACGGTCCAGGAGCCTGTGAGGGGAGGGTTCCTCCTGCTAACTGTCTCCGCATCCCAGCCCTGCCTTCCAGGCTCCCCCTAAGTTATCTTTTGAAGGCACGGTAGTCTCCTGCTAAGTTCCCTTTTGAAGGTCTGTCTGCTGGGGGAGCAGAGGCACTGGAAGGAAATATGTCTCTTTCTTTTCCTTTCTCTTCTTTTTTTTTAAGTAATAATTTATACAGGACCTTTTTCTCAAATAGCTCAAGGCACTTCAGTGGAAGCCGCTGCTGGAAAAGAAGAGAATGACCCTATCCCCAGCATCAATAATGCAAAGGTGCTTTTTTTAATGAGGGCATTGTCAATTTGACTTCCCCTAGATCAGCAGAGGATCAAAAGTCACCAGTGGCTACCAGAGCTGATTTGAGCAGGGGAGGCAGTTTCCGGCCAGTCCTGGCTATAGGCTGGCTACATCAAACAGCCACTTTGGAACTTGGGTGTTCTTTCACCTGCCTTTTGATCAGCTGCAGCTGTAACCACAGGGTGCCCTCGCCAGGGGCCAGAGGACCTTGCTGGGTGATTCTTCCTGGTGAAAACCTGCTGGACCCAGAGCTTAGATGAAGCGAGTCATTCCTGCCCAGGGTGTCCACAAACCAGCTTTTAGGGCCCAAGGTCAGCCACTGTTCATCCAGACAACTATCCCAAATATTAAGACACACTGCACCTCCATCCCCTGTGCTGACTGACACAGCCAACATGTGTTCGAGGAGTTCCAGGTTATGCCCTCCGCCAGGACTGGCACCCTGCAGGCACTCAGGTGTTTGCTGGTGACAGAGACTCTATACAGACCTTCCTGCTCTCTGGTGGTTTCCCTGTGATTAGCCCGTCTTCTCCACTAGGTGCCCGGCCCCGGGAATTATGTACCATAACACAGCTACTTTGGCATCCCTCTCAGTCTAGCACAGGATCCAGCCCAGCCCGATCCGTATCTGCTGACCTGAACGTGGTGCAGGCTGGCCGATGCCTTTTCTCTACAAGGGAGACAGCAGTGGGGGGGGCGCAAGTGGGGACACGAGGGCTTCACCGCCTATTTAGGCTTTAACTATAACCGAAAATTAATCAACGTGAGTTCTGCGGGGATAGGGATTTTTGTCTGTTTTCTTTACTCCCGTGGATACAAGACCTAGGTGAGCACGTGATAGATAAGAGATGGCCAGCACAGTGGGAAGAATTAGTCAGAACGTCTAAGGACAGAAATGTGATGACTTAGAGCAGTGGCCAAACTAAGGGGAAAACAGCCTTTAGGCTTCCTCTTGGCTTCTTTCCTGTGAATGTTTTCCATCTCCCTATTTTAAACTACTTACAAGTGAAGATTTACTGTCATGGTCCCATCCACCTAAGTACTGACCATGTCAGACAAACAGGGAACGTATCTCAGCATTTTGTCAACTTGATGGACTTATCTAGAAAGATGAACCTAAGCTAAGAAAGTACCTCCACTAGATGCCTGCAAACGAGTATGCGGAGGGAGCATTTTCTTAATTAAAGATTGATGTGGCCAGGCCCAGATAACTAGGGGTGTTCCATCCTTGGGCAGGTGGGCCTACATAATTTTGAAAAGCAGGATGAGCCAACCAGTCAGTCATCAGCATCCCTCCATGAGCTCTGTTTCAGTTCCTGCCTTCATGTTTCTGCCCTGAGCTCATGCCCTAACTTCTCTTCATGATGGACTAAAAGCTGCAGGATGAGATAAAGCCTTACCTCCCCAACTTGCTTTTGGTCATGGTGTTCTACCACAGCGATAGAAAACAAACCAGGACAAAAGCTAGCGGCTGATTTAGTGGTCTCCTTCTGCCTCACACATCACAGTAGATAGCGCTGTACAGGGCTGGGAGTGGTCAGCGCCCTGCAAATGTTGGTGAATCCAAAGTCCCTGGGCTCGAAAGAGGAGCAGAGCTCTGGCCGCTGGAACTAGGTCTGTGCCTCAACACAGCTCATCTTAGATCAACAGTCCTCGGCTCAGATGAAGAACTGTGCCAATGTGTTATTCCTTCAGGAAGTATTTCCTGAGTCATGGGAGAATTCCCTTTGCTAAGGCAAGCGGCAGAGGGTCCTATCAACTCTGTCTTCAGCAAAGTAGCAGGCTCTCAGGGACTGTGAACTACACCTTTGATTGAACCTGAGAGGTGTTCTTTCCTGCCTATTGAGGGCTAAACAATCAGCCACTGGCTTTAGAGCAATGGGGGGTGGGGGCACGGGAGATGGGGATACAAGAGCTAAGATCCTGTTGGTTATTGTTCTCCCTGAAGCATTCCAAAGCGAAGGCTCCTGTGTTTGTCTGTGACCCTAGACAGTTTGTAACCGTCACAAATTAACATGTAACAGAAATAAGAGACAAAACAAAATGACCAGTACCTTCCCAGGTCAAAACAAATGGGCTACACCCATCTCCTGGGGGCACTGGCTCAAACCCAGCACTCCACTCCACCCAAATAAAACTAGCCAGTGATGCGGTACTGAGCAAAACAAGTGACTGGAGAGGAATGATTGCTCAGACCATGAGACAGAATGTTTAAAAGCAAACAAAACACCACGATAAGCAGACATTTTCAGACATAAAGAATGCTAAGAATGTACGCAGGTAACCCCATACAGAGTGATTTCAATCTACTCAGAAGTTCAGCCGGTCCTTTAAATACACACCTGGGAATCCACATCTGAGGAACCAGGTATTTGTTACTATGTCCTTCTCCACCTACACAGGCCCTTTGGCTTTAAGAGATACCACCCTAGATTGCAGCACACCGAATATCACGGCTGCCTCCGTTATTAGTAATATTTAAATCCACTGGTAGAGTTGCAAACTGAACAGGTAAGAGAAATGAGAAACGTCTTTTGATGCCTCATTTCCAAAGCCCTTACACGGTTCTGAAAGATCAAACCTGCAGGCCTCGAAAGCTGACTCCAAGAGTTAGCAAGGAAGTGGAAGCCGGGAACCACACCCCACCCCCCAGAAAAACAACAACAACAAAACAGCCCTAATGCTTCAGTGCCCTCCAAACCACAGAGAACCATGAACGAGTTCTGATGACGCCAGCAACTGCCTTAACCCTGCCTGGGACCCTATCGGGGCCTGTGAAAATGACTGACCTGCCACCGAGCACACTCACCGAAGGTTCCTCAAGACCATTTCCCACCAGGAGGCCGCGCAGTTAGGGGGCCTGGCCTCTGAGGCTGCTTCACAGTCCCTAGCGTCCATCCCGAAGTGCTGCCACGGCTGAGGGAGCTGCCTCACGCCACCAGGGCCGGGGGGGTTTGCCCTCTCCTCCCCAGCTGCCCTGGCTCCCGCCCTCTTCCTCCACCCAGAGGAAAGTTTGGCCACCCACCTGAGGTCCCACCCATCTCCAGAGCTGGGGCTTCCTCATTGGTTGGTCTCTTACCCAGGCAAGCAGGGATGAGTAGAAACACATGGATACATAAATAACTATGTATCACTTTGTTTACGTTTCTTTGTTTTCATTCCGTATCCCTAGGAGTTTTGGCAGATGTCCACCTTTGCTGGGCCCAGAGAAGAAGGTAAAAACTTTTAAGTTAAATCATGACAGTGGTTTGCTGGGCACAGTTTTATAAGATCTGCCTGTCATTACTGTCACAAGAATTTCTTTGGCTCCCTTTGGTTAAGAAACAGTTGAAAGACTGGAAAAATGGCTTGGTGGTTAAGAGCACTGACGGCTTTTGCAGACAGCAGCGTACACTTGAGCTCAGAACAGCCTATAACTCCAGTTCCAGAGGCTCCCATGGCCTTTGTGGGCACTAGGCATGAAAGGGGTGCTCAGGTAGACACACATGCAGACAAAACACATACACATAAAATAACATACAATTTTTAAAAGGTTCATCTGTGGGGGGGGGGAGGTCTATGAGCTACACAATTACTTCATGTGTTCAAAAGGAAAATCTTTTGGGTGATTTGCTTACTTCTCAGTATATGGCAGAACCCATCCTTGTGCCAAGGAGTGGACATCTTGAGATGGCTGGTACAGGTTTCATACAGTGGTTTTATCTTAAGAGCAGGAGCCACAGGCCTGCCCGAGCTGCTCTGCGGAAGCCTCAGGGCCAGGGGGTGAGGATAAGGGGGAAAAGGATGCAGTGTGATGCCAGCATTGAGACGTCCTCCCTGAGCAAGGCATGTCACCCCCAGAAGCCAAATGGGGTTTTCTGTGGTGTAGGGTCTCTGTGGGATTTGATGGTGAAGTCCCAGTGTAGAGGAACTCTTCTTGGGGAAATTGAGCTGTCTGGAAGAAAAGATAGCAATCAAGAAGGAGGTGGTTTCATGAAGGCTAAACCATGTCATAACTGGCAAGGGCAGACTATCCATTTCCTTTTACTCACTCTGACCATGTCCATTATCAGGGGCAGTAGCAGGGTTGAACCTCTCTCTGCCTTCCCCATGCCAAGCAGGCGTTCTCCTGCTGAGCTATATTGCTGGTCTCCTTTATGTCTAACTCTTGAGACAGGCACTCACTAAGGGACTCAGGTGGGCCTTGAACACACTCTATACCCCTGGTAGAAGTTCAGCTTGTGACCTCTCTGCCTCGGCCTTGGGAGTAGGCGAGATTATAGGCCTGCGGCTCCAGGCCCATCTGCAGGTGTCCTCCTTCTGACTCACATCTAGACCACAAGGCAACGAGATGGGACTGAGTCTGCGGTGCTCATTAGTGGGATTAGCCTCCTGGTAGGTGAGGCTGCTGTGGCTGAGAGCTTACAGGACCACACCCGTCAAGGAGAAATGTTCTCAAGATCCCATCCCAGGAGGTGATCATGAAGGTGACCTGGAATTTCAGAGAGCTTATCCCAGGCATCTCTGGAGAGACCAGAGAGAGCTAGCAGGAGAGGGAGCCAAGACCAGTTGGCCTCGGAGGACACCAGATTTTATTTCTGGATTGAGAGAACAGGGGTTTTTAGTTGAGCAGAACCAAGCCCAACATCTGAGGAAATGTTTGAAATGATCAGCAAAGTCTCTATGGCTGGAAATCAGGGCATTCTCTTCTTGGTCAGATTTGTAGATCAATGCTCTGGAAGAGGCATTCTCCAACTAAACACACACACACACACACACACACACACACACACACACGGTTTCCTTTTTTCCAGCTAGCCTTGAACTTTTAATTCTCCTACTGCCTCTACCTCCAAATATTGACATGACAGGCATGCCCCACAGTGCCTAATGCTTTTCAAATGGCACATTTTAGAAATCAGAGAGCAGGATCTCCAATATGATTTGGCATAATTAAAAAAGAAACATTCCTCCATTCACTTTTAGGCATTAAGCACCACACTGGGTACAAGAGGAATAGGAACCAGGATTTCCTGGTAGGGAAACCGGTTGCAGGATATTTGATCATACTGTGAACACCGAGATTCTGCCATTTACTGGAGAAACCTGTTTTCTAGCTGTGGTGTGGCTCAGTCCTAGCACACACCTTTACTCCAAGAGCTTTCTGTAAACAGGATTAAATAAAGTCAACCGTAGGTCAAGAGGCAGAGCAAGCAACCAGATGACCAGAAGTGAACACAGGAAAAAACCATAGAGAGTGAGAGGAAATCCAGAAGACAGAGAGACACACAGGAAGTAGAAAGAAGGGACATTCAATTTGAAAGGTTTTTAAGACAGCATGGAGAAGAAGGGGCTTTTTTCTTCTGGGACATCAGCTGAGGAGGAAGGTCAGCTGGGTGCTTTCTCTGCCTCTCTGAGCTAGCAGGCTTTCACCCCAGCATCTGGCTCCTGAGTCTTTATTGGTAAAATCGAATGCTTGGGGTTTTGTTTAAAAAACAACAGAAACTGATCCAAGAGGCAGTCCTAACCGAATAGAACAGGAATTAGAAAGTGTTCTACATCAGAAACCAAACCAGAGAATAAGAGTTCTGGTGTGGAGAGAGGGGGTAGAGAAAGAAAGGGTGATGAGGCAACATTTGAAGGTCTCAGGCAAGTTTATGTCTCAGCAGTGCTGGTGGTAGCCTCATTATAAATGCTCACAGACCGGAACACCTGTCAAGAGTGCATTTGCTGCTGCCGGATCTCTGTGAGTTCAAGGCCAGCCCGGTCTACAAAGCAAGTCCTAGACAGTCAAAGCTACACAGAGAAACCATATCTCAAAACAAAAGTAAAAACAAGAGTGTGCGTGGTTGTATGTAAATTTCACCAGCATACACCAGACCCCTCCCATGTGCTGGGCTGGGGATTGACCCAGACTCTTGGTATAGGCTAGCTAAGCCCTCTACCATGGAGCTGCACCCAGCCCCAAGCTGACTTTAGTGTCATCAGCAATGTATACACAAACAACACAAATGAACGTGCCCTGTGTCATGTTGTGTGAATGTTAAGACAAAGCCCCTGGTGCAGATACAGCCCGAGACCAAGATGTTCCATCAGGAAAGAAAATCTCAGCTGGAGACACGATCATTTTACCACCTAAAATTATCCTGGACAAAGGGAATGGGAGACGCTACTGCCTCCGGGCTGCCTGCCAGCTGTGGAGGTAAACAGCTGGTGATGAGGCATTTGTAGCTGTTGAACCAGCAAAACAATTACTGGTTTTCTGTTACCCGGGGGAGGGATGGATCTCAGACCAAACGCAGACAGGATGTTACCATCTATCTCTCTCTCTGCTTTCTGGCTGCAGATGCGGGGTGAGTGGCCGCCTCCACCCCTGGCTGCCACAGCTGAGCTGGTCTCCCTCCCAAGACTCCCCAACCTTGAGGAATTGCACCCTCAAACTGTGAGCTAAAATGAATCCTCCCTGCCTTAGGTTGCTCTTGTCAGGTGTCTTGCCGCAGCGATGACGTCGTCATGAATGTATACAGGTAAACAAGCATTAAATTCTCAGGAGTTGCAGCCTGCTCCTCAAAGCGGCCCCGTCGGTGTGTAATCGAACCAGCACAGCACCGAGCCAGCTGCCCTCCCGCATTTTACCTTCCCCTCCTTCTCACACTCTCCGGGCTTCCTGTGCACAGAGCGATTTGAGAATTTAATCCTGGTGAAATATTAACGGGTCTTTCTTAGGCTAGTCCCAGGAGATAGGGAGCAAGTGAAGGAACTCACTCACAACATTTAGTTTTCTATGTGAAAGTAAAAAAAAAAAAAAAATTTCGTGTATTGAAGACAATTTACCTCGTAAGTTCAAGGGTGAAAGTTAGGTCAGTCTTGTGTGCCCACTTTAGATAGTTAATATGGGCTTCCTGTTAGCTGGAGGGGCGGTTTCTTTGAGAAGTCACGAGGTCATGGGTCCCTTTGAGCTGAAGTTGGAAGCGCTCAAGTGCATTTTTCCTTCCGGTGAGCTCTTCACGTTCCACACTGTGCCCCACACCCCGGCTCCCCTTGTTCTTTTATGACGAGAGAGGACAGGTAGTTATGGAAGGGCACCCCATTAAATCTAGACCTCCCATTGCCTCCTGCCTGTCTGGGTTCCCATCCGAGGGCCTCCAGCTGGCTACTCCTTAGGTTAATTATTTTGGAGCCGGTGGTATAGTGCAGTACAGGGAATCTGGGTTCAAAATCCTATCCCCAGCTCTTCCAAAAGGCAAATGAGCTATTTTCCACGGTTCCTCCCCAACTCAGCCCCTCTTCTTCTTGTTTATACAAGGATTTCAAAAGCTATCTTCAGTCATTTGGGAAGCTGTGCACTTAAGCACAATGAAATATTCTACTTTGGCCAATATTTTATGTCTCAAAATCTTTCCTTGGTCTTCAATAACCACTCAGAAGGAACTGCAGAGAGAGGCTTGTGGCTGTCCTTGCTCCTCCAAACCCAAGTCACTTGTAAGACTTGGTCTGGTATCTCAAAGAAGGGCACCATTACCTTCAAAAACAGTGTTCATCTCTATCTTACTGTCTCGCTAAGTCCAGCATCCCCTCCAGATGGAGTAGGACTATGCCCTCATGTTATATTCAGTTATTTGACAGGTATTTTTTAAAGCGGGTGCTATGTATAGTCATCATCTTTGGGAGCTCTAACTTTATGCAGGGGCCTAACAACATACGAAAAGCTGAACAACCACCCAGGAGTCATCACCGCGTCATAAATAAATGTAAGAGATAGTACACATTCCCACAGGCTCAACAGGGAACATCTTTGTAGGCGGAAGAGGTCAGGGAAGGATTAAAGGGAGGCACCACTCTGTTGCTTAGAAACAGCCTTGGAGATGGAAGATAATTTAAAATGGCTTTCCAGAGAATCTCATAGAATTCTAACGCTG